CAGTTGTGTGGGGCTCCATTCCTGGCAAGAACCCTGGGTGCACTTGCCAGAAACTCAGACTCAGGGCAGCTACGAAGTGGTTAGAATCCAGGAAGTTTAGCCTAGAGAATCCAATGGAGTCTTACCATCAGCATGGATTCCTCACAAATCCCTAACCTAGAATATTGTGTGCAGTTGTGGTCATCACACCTGGAAAAGGGCGTCATTGAGTTGGGAGAAGTGTAAGAAGGACAACTAAAATGATGAAGGGGTTGGAGCAAGTCCCTTTTAAGGAATGGTCACAACAACTGGCAGTGTTTCGCTTAGAAAAAGGGTGAGTAAGGGGAGACATGACAGAAGTATTTAAAATTATACACAGTGTGGAGAAGTAGAGGGATACATTTCTTCTCCCTTTCTTATCATACAAGAACCTGGAGTTACCCCGTGAAGCTGATTGGTAGGATATTCATGGCAGATAAAAGGAAGTACTTCTTCACACAGCACATACTTTAATTATGGAATTCATTGCCAAAAGAAGTCATGCTGGCCACCAATTTGGATGGCTTTTAAAAGGAGGATTGGAAAAATTTATGGACGAGAATGCTACCAACAGTTGCTAGCCCTGGTGGCTATGTGCTATCAGAGCAGTACACCTGTGTTTACCAGATGCTGAGCAGCTTGAACAGGTGAAACTCTTGCACCTATCCTGCTTGAGAATTCTGTTGGCAGTTGATGCACTACTGTATGAACAGAATGCTGGATGGATGGACCATTGATCTGATCCAGCATATCTGTTCATATGTACTCATGTTCAAAGCTTAATTACCATAAATTTAACCATGGCCTAGGTGTCCTGGTAGTCTGCTTTACTTAAGACAGCGCTCAGTTTGAAAAGCTGGTGATCTGCATTGAATTTCTTTTTAAATTGCAGCTGTTACTTCCAAATTTGTGTCAGTAGTTATATAAATTAGCATATGCAATTAGGTATCCCCCTTTTCATGATGCACTTCACCTTTTATGATGATGCATAAGTGGTTGTATCAGATGCCATATTGTATAATCTGACCCCTCAGCTTTGGAGTCATAGAGCAAATCATGAATATTTCCCTTTCATTTGTTTATTTATTCATTTATTCACATATTGCATGTCACCTATCACTGCCTAAGTGGCATCCCTAGGCAGCTCGTCTCATTACTTTTAATGTTATAAGCTTGTAACTATGGTCAGAGCTATAAGTTCAATGGTCAGAGCTATTGTGACCATGAAGAAGTTGCTCAACTCTCTTTATAAGGAGTGGACACACGTGATCTAAGCATGCCTGAGGGGCTGTATGAGGACTAACCTTACCTGATGTGCCTCCTGACCATGCCTGCAGCAAGGTTGGTGGAGTTACTGTGCATGTGCCAGAGAGCCCAGGTCAGCAAGGATCTTCCCTTGAATGGCAGAGTTACGTATATGTGTGTTGGAACATGTGTGCCACTTCTCATTCGTTGACTATTGGTTGGCAAGGGTATGGCTAGTGAACAAAGCAGCAGGGGCAGGGCTAACCCTACTCCCCTTCTTGTCCCCAGTTTATACAGAGGCTGAATAGTGAAGTAGTGCTTAACAGCTCTATACCAAGTTGAACTCTTGGAGGATCGAGTGCAGTTTTCTCTCCATGAATCTGCACTGAAGCTCAGCTTTCCTCTCCAGGGCTACCTGTTTCAGCTGAATCAGTATGGCTGGGATTTGTTTTGACCACCGTTGCCACTTTCCCATCCCATTCTGTGCAAATGGACGATGCTGCCTCAGATGATTTGGCACTCTCTGTTGGCCCCAGAACAAAAAGTGCCAAGTTTATCACTGTTCTTCTTAACACTTTTTGGGGGGTAAAACTTCTTTTCCAAATGTTGCCATGAACATAAAATGAAATGCCTTTTTAAGAACGGATGTGTTGCCATGTCTCAAGTTGCTAGGCAGTCAGAGCATTTGGAAATGAAATCAAAGCATGCAGTCCACTAGCTTAGTGTGGCTTAGACTCCTGAAGACAATGATCAGTGGTGACATTTAGAAGCATGTGCTGAGGCTTGTGGCTTTTTAGTATTGTTTGCATTAGTTTGCATTAATTTCAGTTCATTCATTTCAGCAGATGCGTGGCAAGTGGCTTACTTCATTTCCAGTAACAAGGAGCTGCAGGGTTTCCCTCTCCCCTTATGATTTCTGTCTGTGTCTAGAATTGGAAGAGTCTATACAAATGTGACTTCAGGAAAGAAATGTTTTGCATTAACATGTTTCAAACAATCTACTTTTGTGCTTTTCTGCTCCCTGCCTCCTTAGTTTAGCATGTAAAATGTACAGACAGTTGAATTACTTAAGAAACACAATTGTGTCACTCAGTGCTTTTTTTGTAAGAAAAAGGGTGCCAGAACTCATGAAATTATTTACCTTTCACATGTAGTCAATCACTGTACACACACCCAAACATGTCAGTTGTGTAATGAAACATAATGGTTGCTGCCCTCAGTAAGCACTCAGTGCGCAACCACACAACCAGTCACAAGCCGAGCAGTGCCACAAGCTGAGCAGCACCATCACAACCAGCACGGACAAAGTACGCATGCATCAGATTCGACACACAAGCAGCCCACATGCACCATTTTAATGATTTTGCCGCCAACCTGCTACGCTCGACAGGGCGATTCGAATCCACGTGGACCAAACATCAAATTTTCAAAAGTTACTTTTAAAACTTGGAAAATCCGTCAAAAAAAGGTGCCAGAACTTTGCGTTCTATGACAAAAAAGGCAATGGTGTCATGAAGAGAAGTAAATGGTTCACATTAAAAAGCACAGTTGTTGTCCTTCCCTTGTTCTTGCCATCATAACACATTTCTGAGTCAGGATGCTTTCTAGCATGAAGCAATGGGTACGTTGCCTTCTTTTAGTAAAAGATGACCACTGATGGGAGGTTGCAAGTAGCTTGGCTTGGTTCAGTGGATTCTTGTAACCTGGAATGTTTGACCAGCTCTGGTCCTGGAATGTTTGGTCTAAAAGCTGGAAACAGCTGTGGAAGCAACACTGTGAGAGTGATTTTGGAAAACATGGTGGAGATATGGAGAAAATGAGAAGCAAATAAGGTATGGCCTGCATGTGACCATCACCTTCAGTGGTTATACTTATTCATAAATGAATATACTTTTGAAATTTAAAGAAATCAGTGCTAACTTGCTTTATCTGCATAATTTGTTGCAATCACAGCATTTTAACTGTCTGGTCTCATGACTGGGGTTGGTTTATTTCAGAGTCTAAACCATCTCTCCTGTGGTATAAAATTTTGTTGCAAACCCCAGGTCCAAAAACAGTGGAATTCTGTATATAGAGGTGGTGGAAATTGGGGGCATTACCTCAAATTTCTTAGGAGTACCTCTTGGACAGCATCTTTTGAATCCTCTGATACTAAATAAAGCATGTCACTTTTATTGAGCAAAGTGGTAATAGTTTTTCCTGCTGATTTATGACCCATGGGAAAGTAGTGGTGTGCTGTGATTTGTGTAATGTGATCATAATAGATGCACAGAATAATCAGCAATTTAAAAAATATATTTTATTTTATTTATTAGCTAATGTAAAAAAAAACTGTGGCATTTGGGGGCTGTAGTTCATGTGTGTACCTTAGCTCATCATTTGCTGCAGAATTTTAATACTTCAAATATCACCCTTTAAAATCTTAACCATTTGCCTTGGACTCACTAAAACAGAAGCTGTCTTATTTCTGATTAAGAGGGCAAACCTGTTATGTGTCTACTCAGAAGTACATTCCATTGATTTCATTGCATCATACTCCCAGGTAAGTTTGTGTAGGATTGAACCCTTAGTGTTCATTACACAACCAAATATAACTGCCTCTTTATATGGTTATCAAAACCAGGAAAAAAATCTGCAATTTTTGCTATATTTGCTATATTTAATTCCAAGTAAATTTTGGTTCAGTTAAATCTGCCCAGAGAAAAGAAGAAACTTTACTGTACTTTAGCCACATTTTGTGTGGCTTTCACATATGTTGACCAATTAAAACAATTTGCTAAATCATCTTGCACCTCACAGTTACTATTAATAAGTGATGTTGTCAATGTGTATTTGACTGTGAATAAAGCAAGTGCTGGCAGAACCTCCTTTGTCTCTCTGATGAATGAATGTATGTTGCGCTTCACATTTTGTCACTCCTAGATTTATCAGAAACTTCTGCAATTCTTCTATTTTTTTCAGTAAATTCTAAATTCTAATATAGTGTAGCCAATATACTCATCACTTTCAGTAGACAATCCTGTGAAGGTACAGGAGAATTACTGAATGCAAGCAGGCCTCTGGCAGAAGAGATTTCTACCCAGTCTGCTTCCTTCAAAGCCGATTTGGTGTCAGGGGGTGCAGTGGGAAGGAGAGCTGGGGAAAGTCATGTTGCATGTTGTGTGTGTGACCTTGGATTAGCTCATTTAAAAATAGCTGATAATTGGATAGAAAATATGCTGCTGTAGGAAGTGCACCCTGAAACAGATAAGGGATGAGCCAGTTTTCTGCAGCCAGAGTAAAGGGTAAACTGTCAGAGGATTTTAGACTGTCACTTTTTTCCATTCCTAGCAGCAATTAAATTATACAGAAATATAATGATGGTTGGGCTAGGGTGGGAAAAACATGGCCCTCCCGATGTATTGGGCTACAGCTCCCTTCAGCCCTACCAAGCCGTTTATGGCGAAGGTTGATGGCAATTGTGGTGCACCATCCTTGTACTGAAGCAAGAAAATAGTGTGCCACTCTTTGGAAGCTTCTATATATGGATTCTGTAAATCAATTCATCCCTAGGAGTAATTTTGCTTCTTCCACTGAATAGCAAAACTCTTACTGAATTGGTAAGTAGTAGCAGATGCTTACTATCAGTAGCAACCTTGTTTGCCTGATGTCCTTATTGTGATTTTCAAAAAAAGAAAGAAGAAAAGGAAAGCTATTTTTTTCCTACCTACATCTAAATTTGTTTTCATTTTTTATAGTTTCTTCTTGCATTACCACATATAAGAAGACACCACCTCCAGTCCCACCAAGAACCACCACCAAACCTTTTATCTCTATCACAGCTCAGAGCAGCACAGAATCTGCTCAAGATGCCTACATGGATGGACATGGACAAAGGGGTGACATCATCAGTCAGTCGGGACTTAGCAACTCCACAGAAAGCTTGGACAGTATGAAGGCACTGACAGCTGCCATTGAAGCTGCCAATGCACAGATCCATGGCCCGGCCAGCCAGCACATGGGCAGCAACACTGCGACCGTCACCACCACAACCACTGTTGCCACTGTTACTGCAGACGAGCGAAAGAGAGATTATTTCAAGAAAAACAGATGCCTGTCCATTGGCATACAGGTACAAATAAAATGCAGGAATTCTTTTACAGTTAAGCACTTGAACTAGCCTTGAGTTATTAAGAAGAAAAATAAAAACAAATCCCTTTGTTCTAGAAAAAGGGATTTCTAAAATAATCCCTTTGTTTTTTGTGACTTCCTAGTTCTACTTTACTTTAGATAACCCAAATGGCAATTAGATTTCCTTTAAGCCCTTCAAGTTTCATTAATTAAACTTAAATCTATCAGATGTAAGGATTTAGCAAGACTTCTTGTTGTTTAATATATTCTGCTTATTTGAATTAGCACACAGAGACTTAAACCTCTGATTCATAACCCAGCAGGAGTTAGGAAAGCATGAATGAAATCACTGAAAGAGAATGTGTAAAGCAATGATTTACACTGCACTATCACCAGAGAAATGTTTTCAGCCAGTTTAGCTGAATTGTCACTGCTTATTCATGCATCACATAACAACTGTTACTCACTTGAATGCAGCAGCATTGTTCTATTTAGCTGTTAAATCAGCAGGGAGGGCACAAGGATAAGATCTGTCTGATTCACCCTTGTTTAAAATACATTAAACTTTGGTCTGGTTCAAATGTGTGGGAATCAGCACCCTCTCTGAGGTGGCAAGCTTTCATGTGGGATGCAGTCTTTTACCTGGGAAATGCTTTCAGGTGAGTAACTCCACCCCTGTATGGGAAAACCCTTATATTTAATTTGTATATTTAAAGTGTACTACCCTGCTCCTCACTTGGAAAAGCACTGCTGGAGCACCTTATAAAGATCAGTAATCAGACAACATCAGCACTCAAGTTTACCATTTAAAAGGAAAGGGGTTGCGAAAAAAGAGGGAAAGGCCACCTCAAAGACCACTGCTTAGTTACCAGAAGATCCCTTCCACCTGCTGCCAGGGAGTGCTGCTTACAGCACAGAACAGGCCTTGAGCTGGGCTTCTTAGGAACTGCCTTGCATCTGAGCCTTCTCTTGTTCGCAGGGCAGCTGGATCCGATCCCCTCTTTGTGAGGCCCAGCCCAGCTAGTGTAAACAAGTGGAGATGGAAAGGATGGCCATTTGACTTGCTGTCCCCTCCCCTGCATCCTTTCTTCAAGGAACTCAGACTGGCATATCCTGGGGATGTAGGAGAATTTTGTTTCAGTTCTCAGATCACTCAAATATTCTCCATTCAGAATCTGACGTGCAGACAGAAGCAGTTGCTTGCATACACTTGCTCAACTTTCCCAAAATGCATGCATTTTAAATCACCCGTGCTTTATGGGAAAAAATTGTGCAGTTTTGGAAATCTGCATAAATTTGGAAATTGTTTGTGTAATATTGACACTGAATAGCCATTCATTTTGTGCAAACAAACAGTGTGTTCAAGTCAAGCCCAGCTTGAGGAAAGATGAGCAGAGAGCTGCTTTTTGGAGAAACTTGGCAAGACAGAACATTGTTAGTTTGCTCATCTCTTTCTGTAGCAGCAGCATCCAACTTCTTTCGGCCCTAATGCTGAATTCAAATTTTGGAGGTGCTGGTAATTGGAACAAAGGGAAAGAGAAATTAGGCCAAAATATATATTTTTAAATCCCAGCATAATTTAGCTTAAAGCTCTTACTGCAAGTATCTAATTCATAGGAGAGACATTTCAGCCTTTTAGAAAAGAAAGCTGAAAAAACACACCAAATGATTGCAAGCATAGCTGAGAGGGAGGGTCACTGACTGCAGGCTTGCCCCGGGTCCCCTCAGCCCTAGCCTAGCATGCTAATCAGTTGGTACAACCCTCCCAATGTACTTCTGCACATTTTAGTCAGATTTCCATCACTTCAGGTGGAATGAAACAAAACCCCCAGCCTCCACCAAATTAAAGTTGCGCAATCCAAAGAGGGAGTAGAAATGAGCTAAGCACGTCTTTTGTACACAGGAGGTACAGTTATTCACTACTGTCCATCCTTCCCTGACTTTATTTCTGATTACTTGCCACCTTGCTTGCTGAATAAAAACAACCTTAGTTGGCCAGGCTGCCATGCTACCAATCCAAGCCACCAAGTCGCTGCAGTGTGGTAAACGTTGTCTTAAACTGGCATGCACAGGAATCCAGGAATGACTATATTTCTCAAGCAATTCCTAAAGCCCATAGCACAGAAAGGGAAGAGAGGCACAAAGGGTGTAACTGAAACATATTCAGACAGGTCTTTGATTGTACCCGAAAAGGTTAAAAGGTTTGGGGATGTTACAACAGCAGAAACTGTTGCAAGTCCTCACCTGACACTGTGCCTTGTGCATCTAACTGTGGTTGTGTGCTGTCAGGCCATCTCTGACTTCGGGCAACCCTATGAATGAAAGCCCTCCAAAATATCTAGTCCATGACAGCCCTGCTCTGCTCTTCTAAGCTCAAGGCCATGGCTTCCTTCCTTCCTTTATTTATTTATTTAGGGGACTTCTATGCCACCCCATTCGTCAAAGCCTCGGGCGGCTCACAATCATAAATAAATAACATAATATAAAACAACATAATTTAACAGTATAATTTAAGTCGCCCTGGCCAAAGAATAAAATAAATAAATAATATTAACAATTAAAATAACATTTGAATACAAAGGTATTTTTTTATTTAGGGATTCACTCCACCTCATATTTGGTCTTCCTTTTCTTCTTCTGCATAGTCCATCCCTTCTTTTAATAGAGCATCTTATCAGACAGGAAAGACCAGCACTATTTCTTCTGGAAAGGAGCTTTGTCCAAAAAATAATCTCTTCAACATAGTTCCTAGGAATTAGCATTCTAGTGATACCATGACAGAATACATCCAGTGTTCTAGTGCTCTATATGTAGATAAATCAAGCATGTGACAAGAGGGAGCAGCCCTGCCCTGCCCTGCTCTCTCATTGCATGCTTTGCCCTCTCCTCATGGAGAGCGACAGTCAGAACAGGAGAACCTCTATCAATGGAGGGCTTCACAGGAGCCAGAAGACAGATTTTCCCGCATTCTGACTCACATGGAAAGCTCTCAGACTGTCCACTCCATAAGTAGAGGAAGCTGATGCAGTGAGGGAGAGGCTTGATTGGGACTGAAGCACTCCTTTTAATTTATCCACATACAGAATGCCTGAAGAGGGCTAAAGTCTGACAAGCTAGTCATAGGATAAGATTGTTAACATGAAGAAGGAAAATAATCTCTAAAACAACATTTCTTTTGTATTGATATCCAGTGTTTCCTCCAAGTAGCTAAAAGCGGTGTACATGGCTCTTCCCCCACCTTTTATCCTCACAATGACTCTGTTAGGTAGGTTAAGCTTAGAGATAGTCTTTGACCTAAGGTTGCCCATTTGGCTGACTGTGGTTTTGAACCTGGGTCTCCCCAATCCCAGTTCGTCAACCCAGCCACTACATCACACTGGCTTTAATGATGGATCCTACAAAGGGAGATCTCTGATTTCTACCATCCATCTATTCCAGCTCACCTGCTGTACTCAGTATTATTGCTTAGGAAGTCCTGATCTCTAACATGGGTTTAAAGTGCGGGGAGCATAGGAGGCTGCACTGGAAAGGATAAAAAGGTAGAAGAGACTTTTTCTGTCCGCAGGACTGAAGTCATTGATCTTAGGATCCAAGCCAGGGTTGGATAATGCTGATGATGAGAGCAGTAAAGGGGACAAATCCCTTTCAGAAATATAACATGCAGTCTAATATAAGGTCATTGAAAGCACAGCAAGAGTATTACATGCATTGAGAAATAAGAAAAAATAAATGAGATGTAATACAAGCAAAATGGGAAGGAGTGTCTTTGACATACCATTTGTTATCCTCTATTCTGTAAGTACAACCTCTGAACAAAAAAATTAGAAAATCTGAACATAGGAAGCCAGCTCATCCAACATAGTATTGTCATAGTAATACCACTGGTGGGCAACTTCCATCCTGCAGGACATATCAGGCCTGCAGACATTGGCCATGTGGCACACAGGAAGTTTAGCTTTCTGTACAGTTCTGTCCCAATGGAGATAACAAGGCCACTCTCCTGATTACCACTCCAATGGATAACATGAATCACAAGGGAATCCTTTTGTTATCTTACACAGGTCAGAGGGAACAAGGCAATTGGGGGAGCAGCTGCTGTTCACAAGAACTGAGCAAGTGGACTCCATGTATCCTTCACCTCTCCTACATGAAGAAGGTGAAGAGCAAGTAGAGCAGAGCAAGGCAGAAAATTTGTCCAGTAATTGCAGGAGTTTCTACAAGTGACAGATGCGTGGGCTTTGCCTGCCTCTAGTCCTCTCCCCAGGGACTGCAGGTGGCGCAGTGGTTTAAACCACTGAGCTGCTGGGCTGGTTGATCAAAAGGTTGCCGGTTCGAATCTGCACAACGGGGTGAGTTCCCGTTGCTCTGTCCCAGCTCCTGCCAACCTTGCAGTTCGAAAGCATGAAAATGCAAGTAGATAAAAAGGTACCACTTTGGTGGGCAGGTTACAGCGTTCCATGCACTTCGGTGTTTAGTCATGCCGGCCACATGACCACAGAGACTGTCTGCGGACAAACACTGGCTCCCTTGGCCAGGAAACAGAGATGAGCACCACCCCCTAGAGTCAGGCATGACTGGACTTAATGTCAAGGGGAAACCTTTACCTTTACCTTTAGTCCTCTCCCCAGTGGGAGAAAGCATAGTTCAAGTGAAATGGCTTTACTGTAGTTTCAATAAAACACAGCAATCATAAGTCCATTGTAATAATGTGCAGTTCATCTGTTTTTAAAGTCTAGCTATGATTTCTGCTGAGTCTCTAACAAAATGTAGGTAAAGCAGAGCGCATGAAACTAATTGATCAATATTCTGAAGAAGCTATTGGACAGCAGAAGAGTAGTTCAACACAAAAGTTGAAAATTTCAGTTGATCTGATGTGGAGTTCCTTAACCAAAATGCAATTAAAAACAACAAGTGCCGGTGTACACATAGTGCTAATCCAGGCTTTATTTAATCAATGCTTCATTATAGTACTGTAGTATTACCCTACCCATGGTTTATCTGATAGGTGATAGTATAAACCATTGTTTGTTTTCTCAATACCTGATTGTTTCCTTGCTCCTCACCTTCTTCCTCTATATTCCAAATGCCTTTGCAACACTTTAGTATTGGGATGTAAAGAGGAGATGTGTGTGTGTGTGTGTGTGTGTGTTTACCATTCTTGCCTACCATCCCTGTAGCCTGATGAAACAACCCATGAACAATTCACTGTTCTAGATTCAGACATAATGACAACCCATGGTTACAGAGGTGACAACTCAGTAACAGTTTGTTATTGAAATTCATAGTTGTTATTGTTGTTTGAATTCATAGTTGCTTAATTCTGAGTTTATCTATCATGACAACCCAGAATTCAGCAACTATGGGTTACCATTATGTACAAACCAGGTCAGTAACTCCTTAAATAATGTTGTGCAATATCATTCACTCTGTCTATATTTGGTTATTCCATTAGGTTGATGGTGGAGAGGAATCCTCTAGCTCAAGTGAAACCCGAGCAACCAGTAAGTTCCAATCCATTGGTGTTCAAGTAGAGGAGGAGAAGTGGTAAGCAAATATTAATTTAATATTCTAAATTCCACTGTCTGCTATTAATAGTTGACAGCTATTCTGATGGTGGTGGGACCAATTTACTGATACTGAGGTGACAGCCCAGGCGATACCTGTGTGCTCCACACACACAAACATCAGACCCTTCTGATGTTTCCTTCACTCTCTGTACACATCATGTGCTACACAAACATCTGCAGAGAGAGGTCCTTCATGCATGCACACACAAAGCCTCCCTCCCTGCAGATGGCTGTGCAGAAGAAAAGGGTTTACAAAGCACTTGGTATGGTGTGAGAAAAGTGTCTGAAGAGAACTATGTATACTTGCATAGAAGGTGGATTCTGCTTTCTGAGAGAAGTTTCCTTCTATTTGCCCAAACAAACAGTGATATCGGTTTAAGGCAAAATAAATGAAACCCACAAATACAATGAAGTTCTGCTGTAGTCCTTCTTAAGCAAAAATATTTGTTTTTCAAGGATGATGATGATGTAGCACACTCTTTGTAGCACTGTCTGTAATGTTCTGAGAATTCAAGTGGTGAGTATTGTCTTGGGGGCGGGATAGTATAAAATCATTATTTTTATGCTGTCTGTTAAGAATTGTGATGTCAGATAGATGTAATAAATGGTGACTTATTATGTAACCCATCATGTACTTCCAGAATGGAACTGCTACCTGATGAGGGATTGAAGCTGAACTATCCAAAAATGACCCCCTCCAGTACACAAAGGGCTTATGGTTGCCATTTAGGTGTCTCATACATTCTGTTAACATAGCACAGTGAATTTAAATCAGTGCCTCTTAAAGTAATAGACTCACGAATCAAGTGAATTTTCCTTGCTGCCAATTGGACACATATGGGCCGACGATTTGAGATGCATGTTTAACAAACAGATAAATCTGTCAGAAATCTTTGGTGTAGTGCTGAAGACATAAAATTGATCTGATAACTTGTTGCTATGCCCAAATGATTGCCAAAGCCTATTTTGAACCCATGTTTACTTCCAGAATCTAATTCCAGAATGTCTGCAGCACTCTGGAACATGTGGAGACAGGAAGCATGCCTTCTGTTCCAGGAATCACAATCACATTGGTGCAGGGAGGATGCCTTTCTTGCAGTTTTCCATCGTAACACTATCTCTCTGTAAAAATGTCCATATACATTTACCAAAGAAACAAACAAAAACAGTCAGCTCTTTGTAAGAAGCATAATTAAGGCATAAAATGATTTCCTCTGGAAACATTAGATAATACTTTCCCACACCTAGCACTTATCTTTAAGGGTCTTACTAGAACTGAAACCCCCTCCACAAAGTAACACTCAACATTTGGAAAGTATGGGGCAAATTTCTTGTTTCCTTCTTCATTCCTCTGTAACCAATTGTGGACAACCCTACATTTCCAGGACCAGACAAACCAGTCTGGTCTGGTCGTACATTCCTGGGTTGGAGGAGTGGGGGTGGAGGGGTTGGGGGGGGCGGGATTCTCCTTGTTATAGGCATATTTATGAGTGGACAGCTTATCTCCCTCCATTTCCCAAAGCGGTTTCTAAGAGGTGATGGTTTGCTGACTAGAAAAACACCAAATAATCAATTTTGCTTGAACACTTGCCAGAGAAGAACGTATTCTTCAAGTGCTAATGATTTTTGGAAATGTAGGCTTACCCAAGAGTGTTTCCATGAAAGGTCTCATCTCCATACTATATAAATAGTTTATTGATCTCATCTGTGTAAATGCATTAGTTCAACTACAATGCAACACCAATGGTCCCTTCTGCTCTTTACACAATTTCAGCAGAAATAAGGGAAGCCACAATGAAGCCACAATTCTACCACAGCTAAAATACACAGTTTTAAGAAATTTCACTATTGTACTGGGGAAGAAGTGGTCACATGGGTCCATTAATACAGATGTGACAATTTCGCCCACTACTTGTAGACTTTTGGAACCAAGTTCATTCTACAATATGTGAAATTACAGATCACCTAATTAAAACCCATGTAGCCTTATTCCCATTTTTGATTTGCAAAGATGAGAATGGTCATCTTTAACATCAATTGCTGCTTTGCTTGCAGCTGCCAGGACAGAAATTACATAAATTTGGAAATCATTGACTGGATTATCTATATCAGAACATGGAAAATTATTCTTTCTGAAAGTTGAGACATAGACTGAAACATTTCATATGTTAATATTGAGCAAGCCTTATTGCTCTATCTGCACAATTCAAATTCTGTGTGGTGTTTTGGAACAGTGCTATTTAATAGACTGTGTACCTGTTTTGTTTTTATATTATATTAACCAATTTAAAAAAAAACAAAATTAGAAAATGAACAAATATCAATTTCAACACTCTAACACTCCTGTAAGAAAAAAGATATAGCAGCTGCCAGATTAAAACTTACTTCAAGAAACAAGTCTGCTTATAAATCTATCTAAATACAGATGTGTTCACTTGCCAATAGAAAGACTACAGAGATGAAGCTACATTGGCCTCACGTAACAGGGAGCTGCACAGCCTAGGACCAGCTCCCCAAAAAGTCTGCTGTCATGTTCCCACCAAACCTGATGGTGGGAGGTCCAATGGCAGCTGGTGCCTGCTGTGGGTGGTAGAGCAGGGGTTGGATTAACAAGGGGAGAACCAAAAGCTTAACTAGAAGCGCAGAAAGTCTGCAATCCTGTGCATACTCATCTGACAATATTGCTCGTTCAGTGAAGTAGGACTTGCTTCTGTATGACATGAATAGGATTGGAAAAAAAGAAAAAAGAATGTATATTGTGCAGTCCCAACTTCAACAACTCTGCCGGGCCATTTCCTCTGTTTCCATTAACTCAACACTGCCTTTGAAGCCAAAGCTTCTAAGCTCCATTCAGATAAAATTTAAAGCAATTCATAAAATACAGTAAAAACAACCAAAATACGGTAAGCTGTGGAAGTCAAAAGGAATAGAATGGATCTCTCTTTTTAAGAAGCTGAAAGCATTGGCACTTACTAGAGACACTTAAGAAAAACATTGTAGGACTCAAACTCTTGCAGTACTCTATTCATATTAATCACACAGTATTCAGAACCCTTACAGAACAGAACAAAATGATACAGAACATCATCTTCCAACTAAACCAACCAAATTCACCAGTCATTCATTACTAGTAGCGAAATAAGCCAGAAAGAGTCCACATAAACTATGCTCTTATGCCCATTCTGAGTAATAGCCCTTATTGTGGAAAACAACCCAGGACACCAGTTTCAAAGTAATCCAAAACTACCAAATGCATAAGTCACATATGACTGGAAGAGAGACCATGGGCCAGCAAACTTCCACAGAAACAACATTCCAAGACCTTTTCTGGGCAATAAGCAATATCTAGCAGAACCGGTCTGGAACAGAAACTTCCAACTGAGCCAAATAAGCCAAATTCACCAGGTACACATGTCTATATGAAAGGAATGCAATCAGCCAGAGAAATTTCACAGAAACTATATTCTAGTACCCATTCCGAGTAATAGGCCATTTTCTAGAAAACAGCTGGAACACTAACTTCTAAGTGAGCCAAACCAAACAAATTTACCAGAGTTATGCAATAAGCCATAAACAAACAGTTCCATTCATTGCTGGGATGAAAAGCCATCTTTAATTTCTATTACAATAATATCGAAGGATTAAAACAGTCTAAAAATTACAGAAAAATGTCTTTCATTTTTAGCCCTACCAAGTAACATCCAACATCATCAAATGAAATTGGTTCGTTATTAAAGTAACCAAAGTTACATTTGTCACACACTGAAAACAAGTGTGACATGTAATCCTACTCTTTCCCTATGTAAGTACGATAGTAGTAAGTTTAATTTTTTTGAAAGGTTTTAGACTGGAACAATTCAGGCTGTTTATTTGGATTTGTTTCAATACAGCTTGTCAGTTTTCATGAAAAGAATGCAGACAGACATGACCTCTTAAACTGCACTTAACCAGAAAAACCTAATTTAAAATCATTGGTAATGTTCAGTCTAGTCTAATGTAGTTATTTAGTTTTAGCACTTGGAAAATTGTTCTTCTAGACAAACCAACACTTATCTTCTAGCAAACTCCAGTAAGTCACTGTAGAGCCTTAGAGATTATTCGCCTTCTGGTTAAAATACATTTTGAAAATAGCAAGAAAACTACAAGAAACCCTACTCCAAAGCAAAGCATTCAAGAAGTTATTACCAATAGAAGTAGGATTGTTGAGCTGACCTAGATTATCATCAGGAAAGTAAACAGTGCAAATACACTCATCAGCTCTCTCTCACACTGAATTCATTCACACAACATGCTGACCTCAACATGGACTCTTAACCCTATGATGCTGTTGCAGCATGTGATCTGAACCCATCCATAAGGGGTTATACAGGGCTTAAACAACCCTTGTATAGCCCTTGGTTTGTTGTAGGCTTATGTGAGAGTTGTTTAATCACATCAGGACTTGAAGAAACCTCCTGAGATATAGACACATGCTCAAAGCATCTTCTGTTCAGGTCTGTGTCAGAGCATCTTCCCTGAATGCTTGAATGTAGCATCCCCACCTTTGGACATAATTGCCTATGCCAGGAGGACCACCAGGAGAATCTAAAGCTACGTTTAGATCTTCCACTGCATGTCTGGATAAAGAATAAACCCTGTAAGTGACATTTTAGATTTTTCTGTTCTGTAGGAGTGCAGCCCATGCCATCCTAATTTTGTTAGAAAGGTACTGGACTCAGGGAATTACCTCTTCGATTATGTACCCCTGCCTCAGGAAAGATAGACTCTTTCCTGGTGCTGCTCTGGAACATGGCTGTGTAGACTGGTGAGCCTTTGACTGATGCCCTATTGCTTATTCCCATATCCCCAACTGTACAAAAACTTATTTTTCCCAACTGCACAAAAGGTGTTCAGTTGCGCATTAGAATAAATCCTGACTTGCATATGTGCCATGGCTCATAATGAGTTAAATAATCCACAGTGAGCTCAGAGTATGGT